CACGCGCTTCCGGGGCGGGTCTGAGGACGACAGTGTCCACGCTGGGCCCCCCGGACGCCGCTGTGCGACCGCACACAGGCGGGGAGACAGGGCCCGAGCGTGCAGGGGTCGCCCTGGCCGCCGGCGCTCGCGGCCCCTCCTCCCTCGGGAGCCCCAGGGGTCGACCCCCAGCCTCGCCTGCGCACCAATATCGTTCCGGGGAGGCAGATCCTGGTCCTCGCAGCTGGGATACCGCTCCTTCCGGTCCAAAAGCAGGTAATAGATCATCTTTCTTGGTTTTCCCTAAGTGCGGGTTTGGGGAGGCAGGAGGGGGCTGCCGTCAGCACCCGCAGGACACGAGCCCGGCCCCGCGGCTGCGGCTGGCTGCCCGGCTGTCGGCGTGGCCGGGCACCCAGCCCCTTCCACTCGGTAACACCCATGCCACCCGGGCGCCCTGCTTGGCGGTGCTACCAAGGTGCGTCTGTCAGCCTCTCTCAGTGCGGGCGGAAGCCACGCCCCTCGGGCTGCGCCGGCGCGCCCCCTGCCGGCTGCCGGGGGAGCTGCGGGGCCCGCTCCCGGGGCCGCGGGGATGGGGGGGCGGGGGCTTACTCCTCGCTGCGCAGCTCGCGGTGCAGCCGCTCGCGGTCCCGGAAGCAGCCCAGCGACGCCATGCTCTCCAGCACGTCCGGGTCCAGCTCCCCGTTGGACGGCAGACTCCGCATGGCCACCCGGCGGCCGGGGGCTGGCTCCAGGCACGGGTCCGGCTCGTGTTTCCCGCCCCTGCGGACGGGGAGAAGGACTTCGGAACCGGGCCTCCTCCTCCCTCAGACCAGGGGTCCCGCCCGGCCCTGACTCCTCCCTCAGACCCAGGGGTCCCGGCCCCACCTCCTCCCTCAGACCCAGGGGTCCAGGTCCCAGCCCCTCCTCCCTCAGACCCAGGGGTCCAGGCCCAGCCCTCCTCCCTCAGACCAGGGGCCCCGGCCCCAGCCTTCTTCAGACCCAGGGGTCCAGGTCCAGGCCCCTGTCTCCTCGCTCAGACCCAGCATTCTCGGCCCCGGCCTCCTCCCTCAGACCCGGGGTCCCAGCCCCAGCCTCCTCCCTCAGACCCGGGGTCCCAGCCCCAGCCTTCTTCAGACCCGGGGTCCCGGTCCTGGTCTCCTCCCTCAGACCCAGCGGTCCGGGCCCCGGCCTCCTCCCTCAGACCAGGGCCCCGGCCGCGGTCTCCTCCCTCAGACCAGCGGTCCCAGCCCCAGCCTTCTTCAGACCCGGGGTCCCGGCCCCGGCCTCCTCCCTCAGACCAGGGCCCCGGCCGCGGTCTCCTCCCTCAGACGAGCGGTCCCAGCCCCAGCCTTCTTCAGACCCAGGGGTCCCGGCCCTGGCCTCCTCCCTCAGACCAGGGGTCCCGGCCCCGTCCTCCTCCCTCAGACCGGGGTCCCGGCCCCGTCCTCCTCCCTCAGACCGGGGTCCCGGCCCCGGCCTCCTCCCTCAGACCCGGGGTCCCGGCCCCGGCCTCCTCCCTCAGACCAGGGCCCCTCGTCATTCAGAGCCCCGGCGTCCCGCCCAGCCTCCTCTCCTGCCCCTCCTCCCCGGGGTGCAGTCCCCATACTCACAGGTACCACGGATGTTTCTGAATTTGCTCCAGCTGTGAGGGGCGGGTTGTAGAGAGGCACAAGTGAGGCCGAACGCAGTATGCACCAGTGGACGCGCGATTCAAGTCCAGGGGGCTGCTGCTGGGGTCCCTAAAGTCCCCCCCACAGCCACCGCAGGGGCAGGCTGTCGGGTCATGGCTCCCCCTAGCGGCGGCCAAGCGCGTGGCCCCGCTCATGCGCAGTCCAACAACTTGGCACCGGGCGCCCCGGCTTCCCGCATGCGCACTGTCTCCCTGCTCCCTTCGCGCGCGCCGCGGAGTCGGCGTGCGCATGCGCCCTCCCGGCTCGGGGCCGCGCCGCGCGGGTGGACGGCAGGGGCGGTGGCGCCTGCCCGGCCCCCGACTCACGCTGAGCCTCTTCTCGGGCTCCACCTCGATCATGCCGCGCAGCAGGCTCTGGCAGTCGGGCGGGATGAAGTGCGGCATGTGGAACACGCCGCGCTTCACCTTCTCCAGCAGCTGCCGCAGGTTGTCGTCGTCGAAGGGCAGCGCCCCCTGCAGGCGGGAGAAACCAGGACGCCTCAGGCGGCGCCGGCGCCGGAGAGGGAGTGCGAGCCCGAGCTGAAGCCTGGACCCGAACCCGCACCCGAGCCGGAGCCGAACCCGAGCCCGAGCCTGGCCCTGACGGTGCGCCCTGCCCCCGGAGCGGGAGATGGAGCGGGAGCCCGAGCTGAAGCCTGGACCCGAACCCGAGCCCGAGCCTGGCCCTGACGGTGCGCCCTGCCCCCGGAGCGGGAGATGGAGCGGGAGCCCGAGCTGAAGCCTGGACCCGAACCCGAGCCCGAGCCTGGCCCTGACGGTGCGCCCTGCCCCCGGAGCGGGAGATGGAGCGGGAGCCCGAGCTGAAGCCTGGACCCGAACCCGCACCGGAGCGGGAGCCCGAGCCTGAGCCTGGCCCTGACGGTGCGCCCTGCCCCCGGAGCGGGAGCCCGAGCTGAAGCCTGGACCCGAACCCGCACCGGAGCGGGAGATGGAGCGGGAGCCCGAACTGAGCCCGAGCCGGAACCCAAGCCCAGAGCCCGAACCCGAGCCTGGCCCTGACGGTGCGCCCTGCCCCCGGAGCGGGAGATGGAGCGGGAGCCCAAGCCGGAGCCCGAACCCGAACCCAAGCCCAGAGCCCGAGCCCAAGCCGGAGCCCGAACCTGGCCCTGACGGTGCGCCCTGCCCCCGCAGCGGGAGATGGAGCGGGAGCCCGAACCTGAACCCAAGCCCAGAGCCTGAGCCTGGCCCTGACAGTGCGCCCTGCCCCCGGAGCGGGAGATGGAGCGGGAGCCCAAGCCGGAGCCCGAACCCAAACCCAAGCCCAGAGCCCGAGCCCAAGCCGGAGCCCGAACCTGGCCCTGACGGTGCGCCCTGCCCCCGCAGCGGGAGATGGAGCGGGAGCGGGAGCCGGAGCCCGGAGCCCGAACCCGCACCGGAGTGGGAGATGGAGCGGGAGCCCGAACCCGAACCTGAGCCCAAAGCCGGAGCCCGAACCCGAGCCCAGAGCCGGAGCCCGAACCTGAACCCAAGCCCAGAGCCCGAGCCTGGCCCTGACGGTGCGCGCTGCCCCCAGAGCGGGAGCCTGAACCCGAACCCGAACCGGAGCGGGAGCCCGAACCTGAACCCAAGCCCAGAGCCTGGCCCTGACGGTGCGCACTGCCCCCGGAGCGGGAGGCGGGAAACTGAGGCACCGAGCGGCTGGGCAGGGCCCGGCAGGGCTGTGGTGGCAGCCTGGAGGCTGCTCCTAAGGAAAAGGAGAGGTTTGCCCTCCGTGCATCGGTCATTCATTCATTCAACATGAGGAGCGCGCCGCGTGTGGGCCTCTGCCCTGCCCGCCGGCTCCGAGGATGCAGACGGGCAGCGAGCACTGTCGCCGGACCCTGGAGGGAAGCTGGAAGAGGCCTCTGGCGGGGCAGGGCCCTGCCCACCCCGGGCTGTGGCCTCCCGTGGCAGCAGAGGCCGCCTGCCCCTACAGGAAGGAACCTGTGGTGATAAACCGCCGCCGCCAGGAACAGCGGGCGGGGCGCCAGCACCCAGCGCGGGCCTTGGGCTGCCTCCTGCTCTGCCGCCGCGGCGGGGCGAGCGCCGGCAGGTGGCGCGGCCGCTGCTCTGAGGGCGGCCCTGGTAGTACCGACGCCAGGATCGCGTGGGACTCCTGAAATCGGAAAAGACCCCCTAAAATCTACACTAAATTGTGGCCCCTTAAAGTTCCCTAGAAATGCTAACCGGGGTGCCACATGCGCCACCGGAATTTGGGGTGCCTTACGATTTCGCCACAGGCTTGTTACCACGCTAGCTGCTGTGACCCATGCGACAGCTGACTGCGCCCTCTGCACCCCAGGTTCTGATCCAAGCCACGCGAGCGGGCAGGGAGCAGGCCACGTCCCTGCCCCCGTGCGGCCCCGGCCAGCAGGCCAGCAGGGGGCTGGATGAGTGTCAGTCACGCCCTGGAGGGAGAGGCACACACATCAGACAGGCAGGGGGCGGGCTCATGAAGAGCAGCCAAGGCCTGGAGCCCGGCTTTAGCTAGGAAGTCAGAGAGGGCCTCCCGGAGGAGGTGGCCGTGTGACCCTCTGAGGGCCTCTCCGGGTATCCGAGGCCTGCGGACGCGGACCTCGGCGGCAGGAAGCCTGGGTGTGACTGCGGATGCCTGAGGCGCTCGCCCCAGCCTCGATTTCCCCTTCTCTGCAAATGGACAGAATGAGCCCCCCAGGGAGGGCGACAGGGTACGAGGACAGCGCAGGGTTTCTGTCAACCCTCTGTGTGACACCTGTGACACAGCTTCCTGCCGCCGCACTCACGGCCCACGGCGCTGGAAGCCGCCCAGGACCCGCGCCTCCGCACCGCGGGTTACCGCCACGCTTGGGCGGGATCGACAACAGAAAGGACCAGCACGCACAAGAACCGAGGCGCTGGACTGCACAGCGCGCTTGCGGGACCAGAGCTTCCGTGGGCGGGCGGAGGCGGCCGCGCTCAACCCCGGCGGAGGGCAGGCGACCCGGCTCTGCCCGGCCGCGGCCACGGCGGGCGGGGAGAGCGCCTGGAGAAGGCACTGTGGGCTACAGATGAGAGCCCTGATTTGCAAATACAGAAACCGCGGATGCCGAGGACTGGCTGTGAGATAATAGCTACTCCTGTCACGCGGGCTCCCGGAGCTGCTGAGCACCGCGACTTGAGCCTTGGAACCGCAGGTCCTGTGGGCCCCCAGCGCGCACAGGACGGTATGGAGGCCTGCAGGCTGAAGGGAGTCGCATGCTGAGGGTGGGGCGTCAGGGACGTGGATTCAGCTGGGCGGGCGCCAGGACTGGGCTTTAACCCCCTGCTGAATGGGGGCAGAGGCCCGGAGGGCTCTTGGCTACCCCCCCCCCCAGACCCGTGTTGCTCTCCTGTGGGGTTCTGGGCCCCCGGAAGGGAGTGCTGGGTGCCCCTGGTGGCTATCACACAGCCCAGGGGCTGAGACACCTGCCCCTGACCAGCCGTGTGCCCATGGCCAGTCCCCCCCAACACCCAGGCTGGCTGAGCGAGTGATATAAAATGATGTGCTGCGAACAGCCACCACTTCTCTGCTCGTCACCCCATGTGTTCATGGGGGCTCACGACGTGCCACGCCTGGGGTGACAGAGGCGAGCCAACCAAATGAAGCAGAAGAAAAGCCCGGACACGGTCTCCGATCGCATGGAGCTCACCACAGAGAAGGGAAGGCAGCTGCCACTCAGGAGCCATGCACGGTGACAACCCTCCGGGCTGCCAGGGAGAGGAGGGGGCCTGACCTCGTCGGGGGGGGGGAGAAGGAGGCCAGGGGAGGCTTTCTGGAGACGTGACCTTTGAACTGAGAGCTGAAGGAAGTCCTCCAGCTGTTCACTAGGTGAGCAATGGAGCTAGTTGAGGTGGAAGAATGTTTTAGCCCGAAGAGGCAGTGCAAAGGCCCTGTGGCAGGAGCTGGGCTGACCGCCCCTAGCCTGCTTGTAGAGCTACTGCAGTATTGCCAGTTTGTCCCCAGGACCAGGTGGCGTGCACCCTACACCTTCCCAGGGACAGTCCCGCAGTTTTACGACTGAAAGAGCAGGTGCCCCAGGATCTTTGTTGGCTGATGCAAGACCTCCAACATGGGTTAAATATTGAGGGGTGGTGCGGGGGTGGGCGGGGCTGGACATGGCACTCTGCGCTCCCACCACGAGGGATTGTTCTAGAAGCAGGAGCAGACCAGCAAGGGTGTCTCACCACGAGCAGGGCGAAGAGGATGACCCCACAGCTCCACATGTCTGCCCGGCGCCCGTCGTACTTCTCGCCCTGGCCGGGAGAGGGGGTGGTCAGCCGCAACCTCCTCCCGCTGCCGCCTCCACTGCTCGCTCCCTCCACCTGCCCATCGCTCACCTTGATCACCTCTGGGCACGCATAATGGGGCGACCTGAGACACAGAGACAGGCGCGTGAGCCCCCGCGGGCTCGCCCCCACCCTGCCCCGCTCGGGCGGCCACCGCACTCACCCGCAGCTCGTCTCCAGGAGGCTGTCCCCCACCTGCAGGGACGCCATGCCGAAGTCGGCAATGCGGATGTTGTTCTTCTCATCCAGGAGCAGGTTCTCGGGCTTCAGGTCTCTGTGGCTGAGACAGGTGGGGCAGGGCGGGGCGGTCACACCTGCCTCCTGGGAGGCCCCCCACCGCTCCCGGCTCGGCTCACAGTGCGGGGCATTTCTGGGGACATCAGTGACTGCCGGTCAACAGCAGGGCTCACGGTGAGAGGAGAGTGTGAGGAAGCCCGGCGCCCTCACCCTGGCTCCCCCAGGATCACTCAGGGCAGGGCCCCCGCTTCTTCCTCCAAGCCTGGGTTATGTCCTACAAGATCCCAGACACTGGCCATTGCGTAGCTCAGACGTTGGAGCATTGCAGGTGCAAACGTGGATAAGGGAGGTAGCCGGTTCTTAAAATCTCAGAATATTTCCACGCTGAATAATACAAAAGTGTTTCCACCCCAGGCCGGCTACTGGTTCCTGCCCCAGGACCCTGTCCTCCCTGGGCTCCTCAAGGTTTAAGGGTTAATGCCTGGTTGGGGGGGTGGACTCCACAGCTCTCCCGCTGGGCTTGGCCGCGGTAACTGGGTCATAGCTGTTGTGAACCGTGTTGAATATCGCCCCCTAGCGGTCAGACCTCCCAACGACGGGGCTGCGACAGTCCGTCAACAGCAGCTTCTTCCCGCTGCCGGACTCCACCCCAAGTCCCAGCCCCTCCCCCCTGCATCCCCTCCCCATCTCCAAAATGCGTCCCCGAGGGAGGGGGCAAAGGAGGCTGCAAGCTGGAGGATGATCCGTTTGGCGCCTCCACAGGCAGAGATGCTGCCTACTGATTTACTGGCTTTTCCTCCCGCGAGAGAGGCAGGGGCCCAAGCACTTGGGCCATCAAGTGCTGCTTTCCCCGGCACCTTAACAGGGAGCTGGACCGGAAGCGGGGCGCTGGGACTCGGACCAGCGCTCTGATGCAGGAGGGTTAACCGGTTTCACCACGACGCCAACGCCAGCCCCAAATACTGCCTATTTAATGTCTTGAAGACAGTCCAAGGGAGAAAATATAAGTGATTCACGGGAACGCTCGTCCACAAAGAACAGGCCTCAGTTCTTCCCGAACGCCACAGAGAAAAGCGAACTTGAAGTGCATCCACGGCTATGTGCAAGAACGATTCCCACTTCTAGAAGAAAAGACCGGACACCTCGGGCCTTGAGTTGGGCCAAGATTTCTTTCTCTTTCCTTTTTTTTTTTCTTTCAAGATTCAGTTGTTTATTTTAAAGTCAGAGAGGAAGAGACAAGCAAGAGAGAGAAAGCGTCCATCCACTGGTTCATTCCCCGTGGTTCTCTGAAGCCAGGAGCGTCTCGCAGGACTCCCACTGGGTGCGGGCCGTCTTCTGCTGCTTTCCCAGGTGCATTAGCAGGGAGCGGCATCGGAAATGGAGGAACTTGGACATGAACTAGTGCCCATATAGTGTGCTGGTGTCACGGGCGGTGGCTTAACCTGTTATGCTACAGCACCGGCCCTGGCAAAGATTTCTTAAATAAGATACAAAAATCATGAACTATGCAAGAAAAAAAAATCAAGTGGACCTCATCGACATCATATGCTTTTTCATTTTTGTAAGACATTGTTACAAACATGTATATGTGAGACTGGCGTCCTCGCGGCACAACACCACCTGTGCTGCCGCATCCCACGTAGGGGCAGGTCCAGCCCGGCTAGTTTGCTTTGGAGCCAGCTCCCTGCTTATGCACCTGGGAAAGCAGTGGATGGGGCCCACTTGGTTCCTGACACCCACCTGGGAGACCAGGATGGCGTTCCAGGGTCCTGGCTTCAGCCTGGCCCAGCCCTGACCACTGCTGCCGTGTGGGGAGAGAACAGTGGGTGGAAGATCTCTCTCTCTGTACCTCTGCCTTTCAAATAAATAAAATAAGTCTTTAAAAGTTCCGGGACCAGCACTGTGCCATAGTGGGTAAAGCTGCCAGCTACGATGCCGGCGTCCCATATGGGCGCCGGTTCAAGTCCCACTTCCAATCCAGCTCTCTGCTATGGCCTGGCAAAGCAGTAGAAGATGACCCAAGTCCTTGGGCCCCTGCACCCATGTGGGAGACCTGAAGAAGCTCCTGGCTCCTGGCTTCAGATTGGCACAGTTCTGGCCGTTGCCGCCAACTGGGGAGTGAACCAGCAGATGGAAGACCTCTCTGTCTGTCTCTCTCTTGACTCTCCTTCTCTCTCTGTGTAACTCTGCCTTTAAAATAAATCTTTTTTTTTTTTTTTTTTTTTTGACAGGCAGAGTGGACAGTGAGAGAGAGAGAGAGAGAAAGGTCTTCCTTTGCCGTTGGTTCACCCTCCAATGGCCGCCGCGGCTGGTGCACTGCGGCCAGCGCACCGCGCTGATCCGAAGGCAGGAGCCAGGTGCTTCTCCTGGTCTCCCATGGGGTGCAGGGCCCAAGTACTTGGGCCATCCTCCACTGCACTCCCGGGCCACAGCAGAGAGCTGGCCTGGAAGAGGGGCAACCGGGACAGAATCCAGCGCCCCGACTGGGACTAGAACCCGGTGTGCCGGCGCCACAAGGCGGAGGATTAGCCTAGTGAGCTGCGGCGCTGGCCAATAAATAAATCTTAAAAATATAAAATATATAAATGGCCAATAAGCACCTGGAAAGATGCTCAACATAACAAATCATTGGGGGAGGGGCTGGCGCTGTGGATAGAGCCGCTGCCTGCAGTGCTGGCATCCCATATGGGCACTGGTTTGAGTCCTGGCTGCTCCACTTCCGATCCAGCTCTCTGCTGTGGCCTGGGAGAGCAGTAGATGATAGTCCAAGTGCATGGGCCCCTGCACATGTGTTGGAGACCTGGAAGAAGCTCCTGACTCCTGGCTTGAGATTGGCAGAGCTCTGGCCATTGCGGCCATCTGGGGAGTGAACCAGCAGATGGAAGACCTCTCCCTCTCTCTCTCTCTCTCTCTGCCTTTCAAATAAACCTTCAAAAAATCATCAGGGAACTCAAAACCACGAGCTAGCACTTCACACCCGCTAGAATGGCTATCATCCAAAAGAAAATAACAGTTGGTGAGGACCGGCAGTGATGGGAACCTTCATATATGGCTGTCAGGAATGCAAAATGCTGAAGCCGCTTTGAAAAACAGCCAAAGACAGAGCGACCCTCTGACTTAGTAATTCCAGTCACACATGTATACCTGAGAGAACCAGAAGCACAGGTACTCAAAAAACTCACCCGTGAGTGTCCCTGTGTACGTGTCCAAACTAGTCATAATAGCCTAGAAGGTGACGCAACCAAAGTGGATGTACAGATAAACAACACGGGGTCTGGCGCAAGTGGAATATTAGCTGGCCATGAAAAATAACGGAGCACTGACGCATGGGACCGCATGGATGAGCCTTGAAGATATTTTGTTGAGGGAAAGCAAGCAGGCCCGCAGGCCCCCACACAGGACCAGTGGTATGAAATTCCAGAAGTGGTGAAGCAGGGACAAAAAGCAAATTAGTGCTTGCCAGGGGACTGTGGGCAGGGGAGAATGAGGAGTGACCGCTTCATGGGCACACGATGACGACAATGCCATAAAATTACAGTAGGGACGCACAACACCGGCCTATCTGAAAAACCACTGAATTGTATGCTTCCAAAGGGTGGGAAGCTGGCCTGTGAGCTGTAGCTCAACATGTCTTCAACGAGGATGAAAGCTTCGTTCTGGGGCTGACCGCACCGGCGTCAACTCAGCCTTCCACGCCTGCCCGTGGGCGGCCCCCGCTCACCTCCCCGTCGGCTGTGCTCTCACCAGATGGAGTAGCTGTGGCAGAAGTCCAGAGCTGACACGATCTGTCGGAAGAACTTCCGGGCCTCCTTGGGTGTCAGTCTCCCCTTCTTCACCAGGTAGTCGAAGAGCTCACCTCCAGAGACGTGCTCCAGGACCAGGTACCTGGGGACAGAGCGGCAGAGGGCTGGAAGGCACCAAAGGGGCTGCTGGGAGACTCCACTTCCCATCAGTCTCCAGGAGGAAGAGACTCCAGTTCCCATGAGTCCTTGGGAGGACGAGACCAGCCCCCCACACCCCAGTCCTCAAGGGTCCCCGAGAGACAGGGACCCCAATTCCCATGAGTTCCTGGGAGAGACTCCCAGTCGAATTCAGAGGCAGTAGCACTCTAACTTTAAAAAAGAAACTCCTCTGGAGGTCAGAGACTGCAAGTCTCATAGGAGCCTGAGAAATGAAGACCCTCCTATTTTCATAACCCCTGGAAAGCCAAGTCTCTAATTTCCATAAACCTCTTGGATGCAGAACCTCAAATTCCCACATATTCTCGAATAATAACAATCACAGTGAGCATCAATCCAAGTCAGCTTCTGGGAGGTAAGACTACAACTCCCATCATCCCGTGAGAGGTTAAAAACTTCCAACTCCCATGAGCCCCTGGGACAGACTCCCAATTCCCATCAGCCATCTGGATCCTAAAGACTCCAAGTCCCATCAGACTCTCGGAGGTTAAAACTCTAATTCCCATCAACTCATGGGGACACAAAGGCTCCATTTCTATGAGATCTTGGATGGCTGAGACTACATGTGAGGCACAGACTCCCACGTGCCCTCTGGACACTGACAGTGGAGTAGGAGCGCTAACTGTTCCTGTCCTAACACCGGCCCCTCCCTGCGGCCACACCTGACAAAGCCGGAGAACTACAATTCCCATGAGCACCTGGGGCCTGGGCCGCTTCTGCAGGGGGAAGCCTGCGCCAGCATCTGATGAATGTTGGAGCCAGTTCATCTTGGGGACTGAGTGGACGGGGCAGGAGGGCTGTCCCCTTTCCCAGCCCAGCTGTCCTTTGGGTCACCAGAGTTGGACAAAGCCTCATTCTCTGAGCTTGGACAGCTGGATCCCCCCCTCCTGGCTCTGAGACACTGATTCAGAATGGCGAGGCGGTCCATTGTAGGGGTGTCCAGCTATGGCACCCGGATGAGGGTACAGGAGGACCCCTCGGGCTTCCCCGGGCATCCAGGTGGTCTGGGGTAGAGTGTCTTGTAGTGCTGTAGTCTCAGGGGCTGGGGCTGCGTTGCCAAGGGGGCCCTGGCCCCAGGCCAGCGTGGGAACAAGGAGGGGGTACCTGTGTGTACCAGGGGCATCCTGGGCACCAGGAAAGCGACTGAGCCCTGGAGAGCCCAGAGGTCCCCCGGCCCTTGCTCCTGGAAGGCTCTCACCCTAGTGCCCGGGGGGGGGAGGGAGGCTGGGGGAGGGCTGGGTGTCTATAAATACCTACAAATATTTCTTGTTCTCGTAGACGTCGTGCAGCTTGAGAACGTGCGGGTGTTCGATGAGTTTCAGGATGGCGATCTCCCGCTCCACCTGAGGGGCGGGGCACACAGGGGTGCGGCTCAGCACGGCCCCTCCCGCCGCCTGCCCTGCCCCCGGCCCCCAGGACTCCCGCCCCGCCACCCCAGCACCTTCATCAGCACCGACTCCGACAGCTTCTCCCGGTTCACGATCTTGATGGCGACCTTCTGACCAGTGATGCAGTGGACCCCAAGTTTGACCAGCCCTGGGGGCGCAGGTTGGGGATGAAGGGTGTTCTCCCAGAGTCCGCCGTCGCCCCCCAGCTTCCCCCGCGTTCCCCTCCTCCCTGGCCACTCACCTGTGCTTCTCCCAGCACTCCTAGTTCAACCCATCGCTCCCCTGAGCCCTGAAGACCCCGCATCTCCTCCCCACCGCCCCACAACAGGCATCTGCCCTCCCCAAGCCACGCTCCACTTCCTGCCAAGCACAGAAGCCTCCTCCCCTTTTCTGATGCTTCACTGGCAGCCCTAGCATGTGCTGGCCCCAGAGCCTGCTCCTCTCCTTAGGACCTGAGACCCCCGCCCACCCAAGCCACGGACCCAGCCCCTCCTCCCCCAGGCGTGGGGTCCAGGCCTCTGACCCGCTTCTGCCCCGTAACCCAGGAGTTCAGGTCAGCAGCATCGTCCCTCTCTTACCACCAGGATGTGGGCCTCTGACCTTCGCGCCTCCCTGTCTCAGGCCCAGGACCCACAGCCAGGGACACCGGGGGTCAGCTGCCCCCTCACTCCACCCAGCACCCCCCTGGCAGGAAGGAAGTCACAGCCCCCCCCCCCCAGCCTGTGTTAGCATGGGTCCAGGATGACCCCTCTGGGGGCCACTCCTCGAAGAAGGGCCACCCACGGTGGTACCCCACGCTGGCCGGCATGCCAGGGAAGGTGGACCATGACCTGGTGGCCCTGTCACCCGCACTCACTGTCTCCCAGGCCAAGGAAGCCAGGCGCCTCAGAGTGGACGCACCTCCACCCAAGCCTGCGGCGGTACTGCAGTACCACCTCGGCTCTGCAGCCCGGCCTCCCTCCCCGCCCTGGCCCTGGAGCCCTCCAGCCCCTGCCCCATGGGGCTGGGCACTTGGGTCACCAACCCCCCCCCCCCAGCCAGATGCAGGGGTCCAGACTCAAGCCCCTTCCTCCCCCAGACCGCGGAGTCCAGACCCCAGCCTCCTCCTCCCTCGGACCCAGGGGTCCAGGCCCCAGCCCCTCCTCCCTCGGACCCAGGGGTCCAGGCCCCAGCCCCTCCTCCCTCAGACCTAGGGGTCCAGATCCCCAGCCCCTCCTCCCTCAGACACAGGGGTCCCGGCCCCCAGCCCCTCTTCCCTCAGGTCCTAGAGTCCAGGCCCCCAGCCCCCTCTCCTCTAGGGCCCCAGAGTCTGCACCGTACCCCTTCCTGGAGACCCAGGAATCTGGACGCCAACTCCTCCATGAGGGGCCCTCTGGCCCCCCAGGCATGCCCCTCCCCCAGGCTCACCTGTCTGTCCTTTGCCCAGCGTCTTCTCCAGCCGATAGGGGCCCACATATTGGGCGTGCTGGGGTGGGTGTGGGTGTGGGTGGGGGAGGTGGTAGGCAGGGGAGCCCCCGCCCCCCTCCTTGGCCCCGGACGACATGGTGCCCTTGGTCCCGGCCCGACCGGTCCCCCGGCCGCCCCCCCTGCGGCCGGTCGCCCCGTCCCTCCGGTGGGGGCCGGCGACCGCTCCGTTCCGGCCCCCCCGGCTGCCCCCCACCTCTCCGGGGGTCCCCAGGGGGCTGGGCTGGGCCCCCCCAGTCGGCGGGCCGCGGCGCTGGGGGAGGGGGGGCTGGCCCGGGGCGGGGGGGTCAGGCCCCGGGAGTCAGCATGGCCGGGGGGGCTGCGCGGCCCCCCCTCCCCAGCCCGAGCCTGGCCGGGCCCCCCTTCCTGCGCCTCCCCCCTCCGGGGGGGGGTCTGAGGTGCGGGCCGGCGGATGCTGCAGGCCGAGGTCCCCCCCGCCCCCCCACGCGCCCTCTCTCCTCCGCCTCCTCCTCCTCTCCGCCTCCCCCCGCCACCTCGTCCTTTCTCTCCGGCAGGCTGACATCACCATCCGGGGACTCCGGGCCCTTCCCCAAAGTTAACCCTTTCGGAGGGGGGAGGGGGAGCGGGCGGGGGGAAGGGGCGGGCCTGGGAGCTGGAGGGATGCAGGGGAGGTGGGAAGATGCCGGCAGGGCTGGAGGGATGCTGGCGGAGGATGGAGGGCAGGGTGCGGAGAGACACCGCCGGCGGGGACGCGGCCGCCGGAGCAGCCGGCGGGAGAGGGGCTGAGCCCAGAGACCCCGAGAGACCGAAGCGGAGGCGGGGACCCCAGCGGCAGAAAGCCAGAGTCAGGGAGATGGGGACCGCGTGGTGGAGCAGCAGGCGGAGGGACAGACACGGCAGGCGCTCCAGGGCACCAGGGGTGCAGCCGGGCGGGGGTCGGAGGCAGAGAAGGGAGGGGGCCTGGGGAGCTGCTGACCCAGACTCATCACTGGTTCTGCAGCCCCCAGCCCCCAGCCCGGGCCCAGCTCCTACAGAGCTTCCTGAACTCCCCAAGGTGTTTTTTTTTTTTCCCTGACCTGTTTGTTTTCTGTACTTGGTTGGGTTTCCTTAGACCTCCCCGGGGACCCCAGCACAGTCTGTAGACCCCCACTGTGCATTGCCTGATTGCCTGTGGTCACCCACCAGCCCCCCCCCCCCCGTGAGGTTCTTGGGTCATCGAAGACCCCTCTGTGTCAGGTCCCCAGAGGTGGCAGGCACCCGTCTTCCCCCAAGCCCCATAGAGGCTGTTCTCTGAGCCTGCAGGCTCCTCCCTCCCTCACTGGCCACCAGTCTCTGCTGAGTGCCCAGTCTGAGCCAGGCGGCGTCCCTGTTGTAAGGGGCTGGCAGGGAGCAGTGCCAGCCAAAGCCCCTGCCATGGGGGCTTCTGTGTCAGCAGAGAGGCAGGTGGGCCAGCAGGTGGACAGCGGGATGATTCTGCAGGAAGGGGCGTGGTGGGGCCCACGTGGGACAAGGCGAGGGCGCCCTGGGCTGGGGCCTGGGGCAGCGCAGGGGCGTGGTGAGGCCCACGTGGGACAAGGCGAGGGTGCCCTGGGCTCTGGGCTCGGGGCCTGGGGTAGTGCAGGGGCGCGGTGGGGCCCACTTGGGACAAGGCGAGGGCGCCCTGGGCTCGGGGCCTGGGGCAGTGCAGGGGCGCGGTGGGGCCCACGTGGCTACAGGAGCGTGAACAGGTCAGCAGGGTCTTGGGAGCAGCTGGTGCAGGTCCTGCTGTTCCGTAATTTTTAAAAAATATTTCTCTTGGCCGGTGCCGCGGCTCACTAGGCACACCGGGTTCTAGTCCTGGTTGGGGCACTGGTTCTGTCCTGGTTGCTCCTCTTCCAGGCCAGCTCTCTGCTGTGGCCCGGGGAGTGCAGTGGAGGATGGCCCAAGTGCTTGGGCCCTGCACCTGCATGGGAGACCAGCAGGAAGCACCTGGCTCCTGGCTTTGGATCAGCGCGGTGCACCAGCTGCAGCGGCCACTTGGCGGGTGAACCAATGGAAAAAGGAAGATCTTTCTCTCCATCTCTCTTTTTCTCACTGTCTAACTCTGCCTGTCAAAAAAAAAAAATTTCTCTTATTTGAAAGGCAGAGTTAGAGAGAGAGAGAGAGAGAGAGAGAGAGAGAGAGAGAGATCTTCTGTCTGACGATTTACTGTCAAACAGCCACAACAGCCGGAGCTGGGACAGGCCTAAGTCAGGAGCCTGGAATCCCAGCTGGGTCTCCCACATGGGCGCAGGGCCCCCAGCACTCGGCGTCCTGTGCTGCTTCCCAGCAGAGCTGGATCAGAAGTGGAGCCGCCAGGGCTCTTACGGGATGTGGGGGCTTAGCCCACTGCCAACATCGGCCCCTATGTCCTGTATTTATTAAGAGGGCTCCTTTTCACTCTCTGGGGTCTGACTACAGATGGAAAAATTATAGTCACCCTCCTTAGAGGTCATTGTCAAGCCGATGGTTTCTGCAGGCGTGTGGGAGCTTCCATCGAGGCCACCAGCCTGTTATCCGTATTCACTGTGCACAGTTACATGTTCTGTGTATATACTCACATTAGGCCACACGGCACCACGCTCACACATGGACTTGTGTACACACACCTGCGTACTCAAAGGGAGTCGACCTGTACACATATGTCCACATCCTGTTCCCAGGACCTCACACGGCAAGAAGGACTGCACAGATGTGATCAAGGGTTTCTTTTTAAAGATTTATTTATTTATTTGAAAGGCAGAGTTAAGCTGGCGCCGCGGCTCACTAGGCTAATCCTCCGCCTTGCAGCGCTGGCATACCGGGTTCTAGTCCTGGTGGGGGCGCTGGATTCTGTCCCGGTTGCCCCTCTTCCAGGCCAGCTCTCTGCTGTGGCCAGGGAGTGCAGTGGAGGATGGCCCAAGTGCTTGGGCCCTGCACCCCATGGGAGACCAGGAGAAGCACCTGGCTCCTGCCATCGGATCAGCGTAGTGCGCCGGCCGCAGCGCAGCAGCCATTGGAGGGTGAACCAACAGTAAAGGAAGACCTTTCTCTCTCTCTCTCTCTCTCTCACTGTCCACTCTGCCTGTCAAAAAATTAAAAGAGCCGGCGCCGTGGCTCAATAGGCTAATCCTCCACCTTGCGGCGCCGGCACACCGGGTTCTAGTCCCGGTCGGGGCACCGGATTCTGTCCCGGTTGCCCCTCTTCCAGGCCAGCTCTCTGCTATGGCCAGGGAGTGCAGTGGAGGATGGCCCAGGTGCTTGGGCCCTGTACCCCATGGGAGACCAGGAAAAGCACCTGGATCCTGGCTCCTGCCATCGGATCAGCGCGGTGCGCCGGCTGCAGCGGCGGCCATTGGAGGGTGAACCAACGGCAAAGGAAGACCTTTCTCTCTCTGTCTCTCTCTCTCACTGTCCACTCTGCCTGTCAAAAATAAAATAAAAAAAAAAATAAAAAAAAAGGCAGAGTTACAGAGAGAAGGAGAGAGAGAGATCTTACTTTTTTAAAAAGGATTTATTTATTTACTTATCAGAGCTACAAAGAGAGAGAGGTGGGGGGGAGAGAGATCTTTTTTTTTAAAAAAGATTTATTTATTTACTTGACAGAGCTACAAAGAGAGAAAGGCAGAGAGAGAGAGAGCCTCCATCCACCAGCTCACTCCCAAGATGGCCGCAACAGCCAGGGCTAAGCCAGGCTGAAGCCAAGAGCCAGGAGCTTCATCAGGGTCTCCCACGCGGTGCAGGAACCCAAGCACTTGGGCCATCCTCTGCTGCTTTCCCAGGAGCATTAGCAGAGAGCTGGATTGGATGTGGAACAGCTGGGTGCCCATTTAGGATGCCAGTGCTGCAGGCAGTGGTATAACCCACTGCACCACAGGGCCGGCCACAGATTTTTACTATTTATTTATTTGAAAGGCAGTGTAGGCCGGCACTGCAGCTCACTAGGCTAATCCTCCGCCTGTGGCGCCAGCACCCCAGCTTCTAGTCCCGGTTGCCCCTCTTCCAGTCCAGCTCTCTGCTGTGGCCCGGCTGTGCAGTGGAGGATGGCCCAAGGGCTTGGGCCCCTGCACTCGCATGGGAGACCAGAAGAAGCACCTGGCTCCTGGCTTTGGTTCGGCACAGTGTGCCGGGTGTAGCAGCCATTTGGGGGGTGAACCAATGGAAGGAAGACCTTTTTCTCTCTCTCTCACTTTCCACTCTGCCTGTCCAAAAAAAAAAAAAAAAAAAAAAAAGGCAGTGTAGCAGAGAGAGAGGGGGAGACAGAGATCTTCCATCTGGTGGTTCACTCCCCAAATGGCTGCAACAGCCAGGGCCAGGCCAGGCCGAAACCCAGAACATGGAGCTCCATCTAGGGCAGGCCAGAGCCCAAGCACTCAGGCTGTCTTCTGTTGCCTTCCCAGGCTCAATGGCAGCGAGCTGGATCGGAGGTGGCACGGGCAGGAATTGACCCAGCACTGAGGTGGGACCGGCGGCTTAAGCTGCGGTTAAGGGCATTGAAATGGGGGAGGTTTTCCTGGTGATCTGAGTGAGTCCAGTGTGATCACAGGGTCGTTCTGTGTAAGAGGGGTGCTGGGGAGGACAGGAGATGGGAGCAGTGCTGGCGCCACGTGGCCAGGAGCGGGAGCAGCTTCCGGAAGGAATCCCATGCTGCCCACGCCTTGGTTTTAGCCCAGTGAACCTTATCCGACTTCTGCCTTCAGAAATGCGTGGTGTGGGCCGTGTTAAGCCACCGACAGCAACAGGAAAACACCGTATGGGTACTGCCAGGGCCAGACGCCTGGCTGACAAAGCTCCCTGGTGTGCCCAGGCGGCCCAGCTGTCTGTCGCCCCATCTCTGCCTGAGATACCCCGCTGAGGGCCCGGCAGGAGATGGATACCTGCGGCCGAGCGCGGTGCCTGGAGGAGCCGAGCCGGGGTTTCTCTGAGCCCGACCCGGCCCAGCCCAGCCCCTGGCCCCGGCTGGGTGCACAGAATCGTCACTTGCGATTCCCTCCCAGCACCTGGCACTCTGTAAGGGAGAAGCGAGGGGAGAACAGGGGGCCCCAGGGCAACCACCATTTGACAAATGGAGAAACTGAGGCAGAAGGTGAGGCGGTGGGCTGGGCCCAAGGCGGCATCGGAGGTTGAATACAAGGTGCAAGACCCCTAGGGCTCCAGCAGAAGGCAAAGTGGATGCCCAGGCGGAAGAGAAAATGAGATTTGGGGGTTGATGCCCAAACCGACCTAGGGCCCAGCACCTGCAGGAAAGGGGCGTGGCCTGGGGAGGGGCGTGGCCTAGCGGTCGCGGGAGGCCTAGAACAGAGGCACAGGGGCGGGGACGTGGATGCAGGCGGGGGCCCCGGGTCGGAGCCAGGCTTGGGGGGCCCACACCGGGGCTGCAGTGAGGGTGATGGGGCGGGGCTTATCCCGAGGCACGGCGTGGGGGCGGGGCCTGGCTGGGAGGGGTAGGATGGAGGGCTCCGGAGACCTGCCAGCTGCCTCGGGCCGCTCAGCCACCCGAGGTCGGCTGGGTCCGCCCAACACTTCCGGGTTAGAGCGCGCGTACTTCCTGTCAAGATGGCGGCGCCCAGCAGAGTCAGGTGCGGGCGGCTCTGAGTCTCGGAGCGGCCGCAGCCCGAGGTCCTGGAGGTGAGGTCTGTCCCGCTGCGCCGCCCCCTTCGGAGAGGAGGGCGGAGACCCTTTGCGAAGGAGGCCGAGGGGCGGGCGGGCCTGCCGCTACGGGGGTTGGGCCGTGGGGCTCGCCCGGCGCGGAGATGGGGCTGTTGCTAGGGAGGGTGGGTGGGGCCTGTTGCCAGGGGGCAGGGGGTGCCTGCGGCTCTGGGGCGCTGCGTGGATGGGGGTCGTGCGGGGGCTCCAAGCGTCACCTTCTCGGCAGATCCCCGGGAGCCGACCCCTCAGGACGCCGGGGCTGCCCCAGCAGCGACCCCTTCTCCCTCGCAGCACAGCGTTCTCCTGCACACACGGCCCATGGCGGACGAAGGCTCGGGGGGCAGCCGCCTGCCCCTGGCGCTGCCCCCAGCCTCCCAGGGTTGCTCCTCGGGGGGCAGCGGCTCCGCGGCGGGGGGCTCGGGCAACTCGCGGCCCCCGCGCAGCCTGCCGGGCCTGCTGCAGATGGCGATCGCGGCGGGCTCGGAGGAGCCGGACCCCCCTCCGGAGCCCATGAGTGAGGAGGTAAGGAAGGGGGACGCCGGGCGGGGGTGCGGGACCGGAAGCCGCGGTCTTGGGAGGGGGCGGCAGTCCTGGCGCGTCAGGCCCCAGAAGCGTCTGGGAGGACAGGTGCTCGCACCCCAGAACTTTTCCGGGAGGTGCAATAGCCCGGTGGGGGGGCCCAGGGACTCCGCAGAGCCAGGCAGGCCTGGGTTCGGCTGGATCGGCGCCGTGACCTTGGATGTAGGAACGGTACTTAACTCAGAGCCTCAGGTTTGTCGCTTGTAGACCGGCGATGATTGACAGTACTTGAGCGGGCACTTGGGAGGTTCCAGTTCAGGAAGGGCGGGCAGCAGCCAGGTCGCCCCCAGGGCACAGGCTCCGCTCTGTCCTGGCTTCAGGCCTTGCCGACTGCTGACCGCGGGACCCTGGGGCGGTGGTAGCCTTCCCGTGCCTCGGTGCTCTCTCCGTGAGTCGGGGATGATGGTGATAGCTCACAGAGCTGTTGGAAAAGCCAGAGTCACAGAGAGAGAGGCAGAAGGGTCTTCCATCCGTTGGTTCACTCCCCAGATAGCCGCAACGGCCAGGGATGGGCCAAGCGGAAGCCAGGAGCCAGGAGCTTGACCGGGGTCTCCCACCTGGGTGGCAGGGGCCCAAGCACTTGTGGCATCCTCCGCTGCTTTTCCCAGACCATGGCCGGGACACAAACCGACGTCTTTGTCGGATGCCGGCGCCAGCTACACCACGACACAGGCCCCTCCTGGAGTTGTTCTGAAGATTGGTAGCAATATTATGCTACCAATAATATTATACATTTTGTTATTACAATGTATACCATATTATATATTGTTATGTAGTCGTTATGTAGTCGTGCATAATGTTTAATCGCCGGTCACCGAATGGGAAGCGTTTGCTAATCCGCTCTGTGCGTCCTGTTTTGAACCTGTGCCACAGGGAGGAAGCCAGATTTGTCCCGGCCCGAGCAGAGCCCTTTGTGAGGCCTTCGCACGGGGCCCTGGGAGGGACCCACACTGGCCAGTGCTCGGCTTTCACCCCGACCCGATGGCGGCCTCCCGTCATTCCCTCCCCTTGGAGCTCTTCCTTTGTTTGTTTTGCTTTCTTTTTCTTTTTTTAAGATTTTGCTTATTTGAAAGAGATCCTCCATCTGCGGATTCACTCCCCCGATGGCCGGGGCTGGGTCAGGTGGAAGCCGGGACCCAGGAGCATCATCTGAGGCTTCTCCACGTGTGCAGGGGCCCCAGCACCTGGGCCGCCCTCGCTGCTTTTCCCCGGGAGCATTCGCAGGGAGCTGGATGGGAAGTGGAGCACTGGGACTCAAACCGGCGCCCATACGGGATGCCAGCACTGCAGGCGGCGGCTTTACCAGCCATGTCCCAGCCCCTAACCTCTCCCTGACCCCTGCCTGGTGGCAGCCCCGCCTCAGCGCCGTGGGGCCCGCTGGCGCCTGTCCTATCTCCCCTGGCACACTCACTCTCTGCCCATTTTCTGCAATATCTGCTCCGGGACCAGACGCGACTGCCCTCAGAGCAGGGGTTTCTGCTGGCCCAGGGCTGCATCCCCAGTGGCCGCTGCCGGCCCTCAGGTGCTGGGCATCCTGGGTAACGGCCGCTCCTCCTTGATGAATTACCGACAGGTGTGTGCTTTGCTCCCCCGCAGAGGCGTCAGTGGCTGCAGGAGGCCATGTCGGCCGCCTTCCGGGGCCAGCGGGAGGAGGTGGAGCAGATGAAGAGCTGCCTCCGCGTGCTGTCGCAGCCCTGTGCCCTCTGCAGCCGCCGAGGCCGAGCTGGCCAGCGACCAGCAGGAGCGCGAGGGCGCCCTGGAGCTGCTGTCCGACCTGTGTGAGAACATGGACAATGCCGCAGGTACCCCGGCCTGCCAGGGCACCCTGCCCCGCTGTCCTCTCTCAGCTCCGTCACGTGAGGGATCGGTCTCACAGGCCCTGTGCTGGTGGGCGCTCGGCCCCTCCCCCCTGCCCCCGTGGCTGCGTGACAGGCGTGTACCCCTGTCTGTTTCTGGAAGTTGGAGGAACTCGGTGGGGCGCGGGCTGTGTTCCCCCCAGGGGGTGGTCACCGAGATGGGAGGTCAGAGGGGGCACCCCAGTCGCTGGTGGTGTTGAGACGCACCGGCCTCGGAGGGACCCTGGAGGTGAGCCCCGTGGGAGCCCACTGCCTCTCGAGCTCACTGCTAGGGCCACCGTAGCAGAGTGCCGCAGACCCTGGCTGAGTGACAGACGCGTCTTCTGGCAGTGCCGGAGGCTGGGAGCCCGTGAGCAAGGTGTTGGCGGAGCTGGGTCTCCGAGGCCTCTCCGAGGCTCGCAGACACCGCCTTCCCCATGGTCTGTGTCGAACCTGTTCCTCTTCTTTTCACGTGTGTTTATTGTCGTGTGCTTGACAGGCAGAGCAACAGAGCGGGCGAGCGCTTCCACCTGTTGATTTGCTCTCCAGATGCCCTCAATAGCCAGGCTGGGCCAGGCTGAAACCAGGAGCCCGGAGCTGCCTCTCGACTTCCCGCATGGGAGGCCAGGGCCAAGCCCTTGGGCCGCTGTCTGCTCGGTAGCAAGGAGCTGGCCTGACGTGGGGCAGCCAGGACTCCAGTCGGCTCTGCCACATGAGGCTGCAGGGGTCCCAAGCGTTGGCTTACCCCACTCGGCCACCACGCTGGCCCTCGGCCGCCTGAGAACACGCCGGTCATCCTGGCTTAGGGTCCCTGCCTCCAAATGCAGTCCCACCCGAGGTCCTGGGGGTTGGGGCGTGAGCCTCTGAGTTTTGGTGGAGGCCGCCGTGCGGCCGCTAACACCGGCCTCTCCATTCTCTCTACCAGACTTCTGCCAGCTGTCGGGCATGCACCTGCTGGTGGGCCGGTACCTGGAGGCGGGGGCGGCGGGGCTGCGGTGGCGCGCGGCGCAGCTCATCGGCACGTGCAGCCAGAACGTGGCGGCCATCCAGGAGCAGGTGCTGGGCCTCGGCGCCCTGCGCAAGCTGCTGCGGCTGCTCGACCGGGACTCCTGCGACACCGTGCGCGTCAAGGCCCTCTTCGCCATCTCCTGTGAGTGCCCTCCCTGGGGCAGAGGGACGGGCGCCGGGCGCTGGGGGCAGCAGTCTTCCGTCTGAAGCCCTGGCGACAGGTGGCAGAGGCCGCGCCCACGGCTCAGCCCCGGCGCCCTGTCCACGCCCGGCTCAGCCTCGGCACTGGCGAAGTCCCGGGCTGGCCTGTGGGCTGTGGGCTGCAGAGCGGCCTCCAGCCGTGCCCACAGGCGTTGTGAAGAGAGCCACGCTGGACACGGACAAAGGGCCTCTGGAGCAAGGCTGATGTCATCCCCCTGCGTGGCAGAGGGACTGGGCCAGGGCCGTGTGGCTCCCGGCAGAACTGTGGCGGGGGCAGGAGGGGACAGGAGACGGCACCTGGGCTGGCCGTCCTGCTGGGGTTGATTTGCTGAGTGGTCTGCGCCCGCTGAGGTGGGGACGCCGTATCCCCGCCACACGGAGGAGGGGCTGGCCGAGGGGCCGGGCCCGGGCTCTGTCCTCACTTGTTGGATGTCTATGCGACGGATTGCCTTTTTATTTTTAAGCCTTTATTGAGATATAATTCACAAGCTACAGAATTCTTTATTTTTTTTAAAGACTTGTTTATTGTCTGAAAGGTAGAGTTACATAAAGAGAGGAAGAGGAGGGGAGAGATCTTCCATGGCTGGTTCACCCTCCAATGGCTGCAGTGGCTGGGGCTGGGCAGGCCTAAGCCAGGAGCCTGGAGCTCCGTCCGGGTCTCCCGTGTGGGTGACAGAGGCGCAGGCGCTGGGCCGTCTTCCACTGCTTTCCCTGGTGCATGGGCAGGGAGCTGGATCAGACGCTGAGCAGCTGGGACTGCACCCACTGCTCGTGGGGTGCTGGCGTCGCAGGGAGGGGTCCTAACCTGCTGTGCCACAGCCCCCGAACAGGAGCGCATGGCAGTCCATGCACAGGGCTGCCCCGCGTCGGAGCCCTGCGTCCCTCCAGACAGAAACCCCTCGCCCAGTAAGTGCGCCGCCTGCTGCCTCTGAGGGTTTGCTGGAAAGCAGCCCGGTGTGACCGCCCCAGGCCGGACCACCCCAGGCTGGACCACCCCAGGCCGGACCACCCCAGGCTGGACCACCCCAGGCTGGACCACCCCAGGCCGGACCGCCCCAGGCTCACCCGCCTTGGGCAGGACCGCCCTCCCCTCCTGGGTGGGCGTCTGTCCTCGCTGCCCGGGGTGTGCGCTGACCGGTGCACTTGCTGGGCCACAGGTCTCTTTGTCCCTCACTTCTGGACACCAGCAGCCTCCTCCTGGTCCACGCAGCCTCTTTCTGCCATACAGGCAGATGGCAGCCCTGGGTGCAGAGGCTGGGAGGGGGTGGGCAGGGCTGGCGGGGGCCCCACAGGGGACGGGAAGGACAAGGCGGGGAGGCAGTATTTGGGAATTCACGACCAAACCAGGGAGACCAATCGGCTGAAGACCCAGGCAGCTCAGCTACCCCTGTCAAGGGGTGACCAGAGCTGGGAGAGCTTTTTCTAGCAGCTTTTGTTAACATCACGGGAGACAGACCTTAGATCCACTGGTTTGGTCCCCAAATGGTTGCCATAGCCAGGCCAAAGCCAGGAGTCAGGAGTCAGGAACACTGTTCAGGTCTCGCGCGTGGGTGGCAGCGGCCCAGGCATTTGAGATACCACCTGCCGTCTCAGGAGGTGCATCAGCAGGAAGTTGGATTGCAAGCAGAATCAAGACTTGAACCAGGGGCCGGCGCTGTGGTGTAGCAGGTAAAGCCACTGCCTGCAGTGCCGGCATCCCATATGGGCACCGGTTCAAGTCCTGGCTACTCCACTTCCAACCCAGCTCTCTGCTATGGCCTGGGAGTGCAGTGGAGGATGGCCCAAGTCCTTGGGCTCCTGCACCTGCATGGGAGACCTGGAAGAAGCTCCTGGCTCCTGGCTTCAGATCAGCACAGCTCTAGCCGTTGTGGCCATTTGGGGAGTGAACCAGCAGGTGGAAGATCTCTCTCTCTCTCTCTCTCTGCCTCTCCTTCTCTCCTGTGTAACTCTGCCTTTCAAATAATTAAATCTTAAAAAAAGACGAAACAGCACTCTGATACGGGATGCAGCTGTCCTGAGTGCTGAGCCAAACACCCTATAACTATTATTTCTGCCTGCAATTCATATAGATTATTAATGAGCAGCTTTGTGTCTCTGTCATACTAAGTCTTTTTTTGTTGTTAAAATTATTTTATTTGAAAGAGTTACATAGAGAGAGAGAGAGAGAGGTCTTCCATCCGCTGGTTCACTCCCCAGCTGGCCGCAATGGCCTGAGCTATGCTGATCTGGAGCCAGAAGCCAGGAGCTTCTTCCGAGTCTTCCCATGCGGGGGCAGGGGCCCAAGGACTTGGGCCATCTCCCGCTGCTTTTCCAGGCCACAGCAGAGAGCTGGCTCGGAAGTGGAGCAGCCGGGACTCGAACCAGCGCCCACGTGGGATGCCGGCACTGCAGGCCAGGCCGTTAACCCGCTGTGCCACAGGGCCGGGCCCAAGCTAAGTCTTCAAACCTGGTGTGCATTTCCCACATGCAGCTCAGGTCAGACTTAAGAGGCCGGCCTGCGGTCTAGTCGCACCAAGGCGACAGAAGCTGTGTTTACCGGAGAATGTTTTGCACTGCTGGGTTTCTTTACGTTTGCATGAATCGAACAGCTCACCACGTGTGAAGTGCTCAGTGGCCAAAAGCTGCTGTTGGCTGCTGTCCACGGTGAGGGTGCTGGTGGCGGTGAAGACAGGAGCGGCCATGACTGACTGTGACCTCGGACCCCGCCCTTCCCACAGGCCTGGTCCGAGAGCAGGAGGCGGGACTGCTGCAGTTCCTGCGTCTGGACGGCTTCTCTGTGCTGATGCGGGCCATGCAGCAGCAGGTGCAGAAGCTCAAGGTCAAGTCTGCCTTCCTGCTGCAGAACCTGCTGGTGGGCCACCCTGAGCACAGAGGTGGGTGGTCCTGAGGGGGGAAGGGGGTGGGGCTGCCTGGGGGGGGATGGTGGGGCGGGGAGGGGCTGCCTCTGGGGGGGGTAGGGGCTGCCTCTCGACCTGGGCTGTTCTCCAGGAACCCTGTGCTCCATGGGGATGGTGCAGCAGCTGGTGGCCCTCGTGCGGACAGAACACAGCCCCTTCCACGAGCACGTGCTGGGAGCCCTGTGCAGGTGCGTGGTCCCCGTGGTGGGAGTGGCCCCGGAGCCCGGTCCCCGTGGTGGGAGTGGCCCGGAGCCCGGGTCCCCGTGGTGGGAGTGGCCCGGAGCCTGCCCCTCTGTCCGCAGGGTGTCCTAGGGGCCGCTCCTGTGTCCCCACAGCCTGGTGACGGACTTCCCCCAGGGCGTGCGCGAGTGCCGGGAGCCGGAGCTGGGCCTGGAGGAGCTCCTGCGCCACCGCTGCCAGCTGCTGCAGCAGCACGAGGAGTACCAGGTGTGCGGGCAGGGCTCGGCTTTGTGCGGGCTTCACCCCCGTGTGCAGCAGCACGAGGAGTACCAGGTGTGCGGGCAGGGCTCGGCTTTGTGCGGGCTTCACCCCCGTGTGCAGCAGCACGAGGAGTACCAGGTGTGCGGGCAGGGCTCGGCTTTGTGCGGGCTTCACCCCCGTGTGCAGCCAGGAGTACCAGGTGTGCGGGCAGGGCTAGGCTTTGTGCGGGCTTCACCCCCGTGTGCAGCAGCACGAGGAGTACCAGGTGTGCGGGCAGGGCTCGGCTTTGTGCGGGCTTCACCTCCGTGTGCAGCCAGGAGTACCAGGTCTGCGGGCTTCATCCCGAGTGCAGCCAGGAGTACCAGGTGTGCGGGCAGGGCTCGGCTTTGTGCGGGCTTCACCCCCGTGTGCAGCCAGGAGTACCAGGTGTGCGGGCAGGGCTCGGCTTTGTGCGGGCTTCACCCCCGTGTGCAGCCAGGAGTACCAGGTGTGCGGGCTTCACCCCCGTGTGCAGCCAGGAGTACCAGGTCTGCGGGCTTCATCCCGAGTGCAGCCAGGAGTACCAGGTGTGCGGGCAGGGCTAGGCTTTGTGCGGGCTTCACCCCTGTGCGCAGCCAGGAGTACCAGGTGTGCGGGCAGGGCTCAGCTTTGTGCGGGCTTCACCCCCGTGTGCAGCCAGGAGTACCAGGTGTGCGGGGCTCTGGGCTGGGGCTCGGCTTTGTGTGGGCTTCACCCCCATGTGCAGGCAGGAGTACCAGGTCTGCGGGCTTCACCCCCGTGTGCAGCCGGGAGTACCAGGTGTGCGGGCTTCACCCCCGTGTGCAGCCGGGAGTACCAGGTCTGCGGGGCTCTGGGCTGGGGCTCGGCTTTGTGTGGGCTTTACCCCCGTGTGCAGGCAGGAGTACCAGGTCTGTGGGCTTCACCCCCGTGTGCAGCCGGGAGTACCAGGTCTGTGGGGCTCTGGGCTGGGGCTCGGCTTTGTGCGGGCTTCACCCCGTGTGCAGCCGGGAGCTCTTCGTTGGCCCCCCAGGGGTGTGCGCTAGCAGGAAGTCTGAACCCAGGCACTCGGGTGTGGGACGCGGATGTCCCGGGCCGCTTGCCTGCCCCCAGACGCCTGCTCAGGGCTGGGCTGATTCCGTTAGCTGTTGCAGGTTGCTCTCCGTAGAAGGTGAACCCTCCACACGCGGTTCACCGTGGCACCAGCAGCCCGGATCCTGGCCGGGACAGCCGGCCTCACACACACGTTGTCATGCTAATTGCTGGAAAGTCTTCAGACCAGGGTACAGAAGGCGGCCGTCTTCCCTGTCCCGTGGGCTGTTCACGCATATCTTTTGCCCATTTATCTGTTGGGTGCTTACAAAAGTAATTTATCTGAGCAGCACACCGGTTCTCATCTGCCTGCTCACTCCCCAGATGCCTGCAGAGCAGGGTGGGGCAAGAACACAATCCCACGTGGGTGGCGGGAGCCGTCACCAGCGCTTCCCAGGAAGCTGGAGCCGGGAGCTGGCGTTAGGATCAGACGCGGGAGCTCCCGCGTGGGACGCCCCAGCTCATCCACTGGGCTAGACACGGCTCCGTGGTGGGTCTTCCAGGGAAAGCTCTTAAGCATCAAGTGTGTCAGCACCTTGCGAAACAGGTCACAGACCTCTCCCCGCAAATGGCTGATCGCCACTCTCGTTTCTGGGATTTTTTCCTTATCACGGAGGTATCTTTTATATTTATGTGGTTCGGCCTGTCAGTGCTTCTTGCTTGGTGTGGGGTTTTGAGCAGGGAGCGATAAGGATCATCTTGCAGTAGGAAGAGCCCCAGGGGGCTGACGTGGGGTGACGCCTGGTGACGCTGGCGAGCAGTCGGAGAAGCCTGTTGGTTTCTGGGGTTGGCAGGTGCTGGCCGAGAGGGAAGAGGAGCTGCTCCCGGGGCTGGGCCCCGCACTCAGGGCTCCTGCTCTTGCCCCCAACCCAGGAGGAGCTGGAGTTCTGCGAAAAGCTGCTGCAGACCTGTTTCTCCAGCCCTACGGACGACAGCATGGACCGATGAAGCGGGCGGCATCCTGCCCTCTCCGACGAACCCAGGCCTCTGCGCCCCTCCCTGTCCACGGGGCCCTCTCTGGAGTGACTGCAGGGCCTCCTTGGTGCCTGGGCCGGGCGGGCCGGGCGTGCCGGCACGTCTGCGTAGGTCCCAGGAGGAGGTGTGGCTGCGTGGACTCCACCTCCCATGCTGTCCCCCGTCTCCCTCCCTCGTCCACGTCTCCCAATAAAGATGTTTCCCCTGCTCCTCTGCTGTCTGTCCCCTCCTGGCATGGAGAGGACAGGAGGGCACAAACTGGGCACTTGGGAGCCACTGGAGGAATAAAGTGTTGCTCTTCAGATCCACAGAGCATTTGTCTCATTTTCCCATGAGCTATTTTTAAAAAATATTATTTGAAAGGCAGAGTTACAGAGAGAGATCCTCCACTCATTGGTTCACTCCCCAGATGGTCGCATCATCTGGAGCTGTGCCAACCCGGAGCCAGGAGCCAGGAGCTTCTTCCGGGTCTCCCACGCGGGTGCAGGGCCCAAGGACTTGGGCCATCGTCCACTGCCTTCCCAGGCCACAGCAGAGAGCTGGACTGGGACTCGAGCTGGCGCCCACATGGGATGCCGGCACTGCAGGTGGCAGCTGTACCCACTACGCCAGAAGACCAGCCGCTGCCCATGATCTCTTGAAATGGGAGGGGAGACTCCCTTGTTTTTGTTTTTTTCTTTCAGATTTATTTGAAAGGCAGAGTTAGAGAAGGAGAGACAGAGAGCTTCCATCCACTGGTTCACCCCCAGAATGGCTGCTACAACCAGGCTGGGCCAGACTGAAGCCAGGAGCCAGGAGTGTCCTCTGGGTCTCCCACTTGGGTGCAGGGGCCCAAGGACTTAGGCCATCCTCCACTGCTTTCCCAGGCACATTAGCAAGGAGTTGGATCAAAAGTAGAGCAGCTGGGACCTGGACCAGCACCCATATGGGTAGCATGCCGGCACTGCAGGCCACGGCTTTAACTTCCAGACTAAAGCACCAAGTCTGATTCCACAGCCTTCTCAGGCATCTGAGGGCGACCATCTCACCACCCACCTTCCGTAAATTCCTCGTCTGTGGCTGAAGGAGGTTCTTGTCAGTGGCTACGAGAGCCCTGGCTGATGCTGTTTGTCAAGACAGGTGGCTTTTCCCTTGAACCCCTGGGTGGGAGAGTTCTCGCTGCCTCTCCATGTAAAAAAAGTTCCTAGTCCAATAAAAGGGGGTGAGCAGCACCCCCTGTGCCTTCTAGCGGTGGACGCTCACACTTCCAGCCCTCGAAGGCCCGCACCCTCCTGCATCTCGGGTTCCAGCCCTGGTGGGACACAGCCACACCCTTGCCCCTCCGTTTAAACGGTGGTGGCAAAGGAGGCCAAACGCCGAGGGAAAGACCACAGATCCTGACTTGGGCGGGAAGGGGGAAGTGCCTCCATGTGACGGTTCACGCCGCAAGTCCTGAGAATGTCTGTGGGTACTTCCGACACGATGAGCATTGCACCAGTGATCCGAGTCTTCCCTCCGCGGATCGGCTGGACAGCACGCAGTCCCCTGAGAGCCCACGCGACGGAAAGGCGGAGTCGCCGCCCTCTGGGCTGGGCCGCTGCAGGTTCTCACGTGGGCGTTAACACCATGGCATCGACACGGACGGGCAGGAGAGGCTATGGGAGCCAATCCCGAAGAAATAAATCACTTTCTACACATATCCTGGGGCCGGTGCTGTGGCCCAGCAGCTCAACACCCTGGCCTGAAGCGCCGGCATCCCAAATGGGCACCAGTTCGAGTCCCAGCTGCTCCTCTTCCAACCCAGCTCTCTGCTGTGGCCTAAGCAGTGAAGATGGCCCAAGTGCTTGGGCTCCTGCACCCACGTGGGAGACCTGGAAGAAGCTCCTGGCCCCTGGCTTCGGATCCGCCCAGCTCCGGCCATTGTGGCCATCTGGGGAGTGAAGCAGCACATGGAAGACCTCTCTCTGTCTCTACCGCTCTCTGTAACTCTGTCAAATAAATAAAATAAACAACACATATCCTACTGCTCTGCTTCCTCTGGGGAGACATCACCTGCTCCAAGCTGCAAGACAACAGGTACCCAAGTCCACTTTTTTTTTAATATTTCTTTTTTATTTTTTTGACAGGCAGAGTGGACAGTGAGAGAGACAGAGAGAAAGGTCTTCCTTTGCCATTGGTTCACCCTCCAATGGCTGCCGCGGCCGGCGCGCTGCGGCCGGCACACCGCGCTGATCTGATGGCAGGAGCCAGGAGCCAGGTACTTCTCCTGGTCTCCCATGGGTGCAGGGCCCAAGCACCTGGGCCATCCTCCACTGCACTCCCGGGCCACAGCAGAGAGCTGGCCTGGAAGAGGGGCAACCGGGACAGAATCCGGCGCCCTGACCGGGACTAGAACCTGGTGTGCCGGCGCCGCAAGGTGGAGGATTAGCCGGCCCCACTTTTTTTTTTTTAAACTTTTTTAAAGATTTATTTATTTACTTGAAGGTCAGAGTTACAGAGAGAAGAGGCAGAGAGACAGAGAGGTCTTCCATCCATTGGTTCACTCCCCAGATGGCCACAATGGCCGGAGCTGCGCCAATCTGAAGCCAGGAGCCAGGAGACTCCTCCAGGTCTCCCACGCTGGTGCAGGGGCCCAGCACTTGGGCCATCCTCCACTGCTTTCCCAGGCCACAGCAGAGAGCTGGATGGGAAGAGGAGCACCGGAGACTCGAACCGGCGTCCATATGGGATGCTGGCGCTGCAGGCCAGGGCGTTAACCCTCTGCGACACAGCCCCGGCCCCGAGTCCACTTTCTAGGAAAACCTCCAGGGGCCAGCTTTGTGGCGCAGCCGGTTAGGCTGCCGCCTGCGACGCCCGCATCCCATCCGGGCCCTGCACCCGCGTGGGAGACTGGAGGCTCCTGATTCCTGGCTTCGGTCCGGCCCGGCCGTCAGGGCCCTCTGGGGAGCGAACCACCGATGGATGGAAGACCTCCCTCCCTCTAACTCTTTCAAATAAGGTTTATTTATTCGAAAGGCATGGTGACCGAGAGACAGGTCTTCCGTCCGCTGGTTCACTCCCCTAATGGCCGCGACACAAGGTCAAAAGCGCCCTTGCAGACCGCGGTCTTCGAGGACGCGGGCACAGGGCCTGGGGAACGCCCGGGCACGGGTCAGCCGCAGCAGGAACCGGCTGTCGCCCGAGACCGGGCAGCAGCGACGCGCCAGGGCCCTGCGGGCACCGAAGACCCCGGAGGCAGCGCGAACAAGATGTCCGTGGGCCTGCGGTGGGGACTCCGGGACGCCGGCGGCCGGGCGCGCAGCGGCGCCTGCGCACTGGCGCGTCCGCGGTCACGCCGGAGGCCGTTGGCACCAACGGGCGCAGGCGCACCTGCGGCGGTGTTCCGGGGTGGGCGGGGCTCGGGCGGGGCGGGGGAGGGCGCCGGGGCCCGGGCGCACGCGCACTCGGGGCCCAGGCGCCATGTCCCCGGCGCACCTGCGCAGCGCGACGAGCGCGGGAGGGCGGGGCCTGTGCGTCTCCTGCGCTACGGGGATTGTGGGATAGTGGCGGAGGGAGGAGGGCGTCGGAGGCCCCGAGCGGGCTGCGGGAGCCGGGGAGACCCGCGGGTGTGCGGAAGCGGGTACTGAGAGAAGCGGGGCTCGGCTTCAACACTGCGGGCCCCTCGGACGGCGGCCGAAGCCGTTACCGCCTCCAGCAGCGCGCTGGGTTGGGCGGACGAAACCGGGGCGACTTCCTCCGTCTTCCCCTGCCGAGGCGCCTGCGCGGCCCGCGCGGCCCAGCTGACCCCCGCCGCCTCGCCCGTGGGCCGCGGAGGCCCCCGCGTCCGCCTCGCGAGCCGTCCGGACCCTCCTCGGCGCTGACCGCGAACTCCGCGGGACTCGACGCTTGAGGCCGCCCGCCCCGAAGGCGCGTGCGCGGGCCCCGCCGCCCCAGCCCCGGCGCCTGCGCGCGACCCCGCCGCCGCCCCCGCCCCCACACCGGGCCCCGGAGCAGGGGCCGGAGCCTCGGGCGGCGGGGCGGCGGGGGCGCCCCGATGAGCCCCGAGTGCGAGGAGCCGCCGCCCCCCCGCGCAGGTGAGCGCCCCGGCTCCGAGTCTGCGTCCCCGGGTCCCCTCAGCCCCTGTCGCCGCTGGCTGTCCCAGGCCGCCGCCTGTCCCGCGCGCTGTCTGCTCCCCCTCGGGCCCCGGGTCGCCGGCTCTCCCCTCAGTTCTCCCAAGCGTTTTACTCTCTCTGGCTCCCAAGTCTCTCAGCCTCTCCTCGCGGTCCCCCAAGTCTCTTAGCCGCAGTCCCCCCAAGTCGCCGGCTCTCCCCTCGGCCCCCCAGGTCTCAGCCTCTCCCTCGGCCCCCCCAAGCCTCTGGGTCCTGTTCACTTTCCCGCCATCCCCTTGGTCTCTCCTCTCGGTCCCCCCAGGTCTCAGCCTCTCCCCTCGGCCCCCCAGGTCTCAGCCTCTCCCCTCGGCCCCCCAGGTCTCAGCCTCTCCCCTCGGTCCCCCCAAGCCTCTGGGTCCTGTTCACTTTCCCGCCATCCCCTTGGTCTCTCCCCTCGGTCCCCCCAGGTCTCAGCCTCTCCCCTCGGCCCCCCAGGTCTCAGCCTCTCCCCTCGGTCCCCCCAAGCCTCTGGGTCCTGTTCACTTTCCCGCCATCCCCTTGGTCTCTCCTCTCGGTCCCCCCAGGTCTCAGCCTCTCCCCTCGGCCCCCCAGGTCTCAGCCTCTCCCCTCGGTCCCCCCAAGTCGCCGGCCCTCCTCTCGGCCCCCCAGGTCTCAGCCTCTCCCCTCGGTCCCCCCAAGCCTCTGGGTCCTGTTCACTTTCCCGCCATCCCCTTGGTCTCTCCCCTCGGTCCCCCCAAGTCGCCGGCCCTCCTCTCGGCCCCCCAGGTCTCAGCCTCTCCCCTCGATCCCCCCTGGTCTCAGCCTCTCCCCTCGGTCCCCCCTGGTCTCTGGCCCTCCCCTCGGCCCCCCCGGTCTCTGGCCCTCCCCTCGGCCCCCCCAAGCCTCTGGGTCTTGTTCTCTTTCCCGCCGTCCCCTTGGTCTCTCCCCTCAGTCCCCCCAGGTCTCAGCCTTTCCCCTCGGTCCCCCCAAGTTCAGCCTCTCCCCTCGGCCCCCCAGGCCTCTGGGTCCTGTTCTCTTTCCCGCCATCCCCTGGGTCTCTCCCCTCGGCCCCCCCAAGCCTCTGGGTCCTGTCCTTCCCGCCATCCTCTGGGTCTCTCCCCTCAGTCCCCCCAAGTTCAGCCTCTGCCCTCAGCCCCCCAAGCCTCTGGATCTTGTTCTCTTTCCCGCCGTCCCCTGGGTCTCTCCCCTCAGTCCCCCCAGGTCTCAGCCTCTCCCCTCAG